ATGATGATTGATCTAGTGATGATGATGATTGATCTAGTGATGATGATTGATCTAGTGATGATGATGATTGATCTAGTGATGATGAGGATTGATCTAGTGATGATGAGGATGAGGATTGATCTAGTGATGATGAGGATGAGGATTGATCTAGTGATGATGATGATGATTGATCTAGTGAGGATGATGATTGATCTAGTGATGATGATGATTGATCTAGTGATGATGATTGATCTAGTGATGATGAGGATGAGGATTGATCTAGTGATGATGATGATGATGATTGATCTAGTGAGGATGATGATTGATCTAGTGATGATGATGATTGATCTAGTGATGATGAGGATGATTGATCTAGTGATGATGATGATTGATCTAGTGAGGATGAGGATGATGACTCCGGGTGCTGCGTTGCTTTGTTGAAACGTGTTTTTAGTTTTCCCTCCAGGTTTTGAGAACTCGACTGATCCAGAGCCTGAGCGGAGCATGCGTTTGTATTTTTGTTAGCAGAATATCTTGTTCTGCAGACAAAGGCTTAAACAGGCTCCCTCCTCCCTCCAAGCTTTCTTGTGCACAAATTAGCTGGTCTTGAGCTCAAGTTAGGTCAAGCTAACTGGCACGATAAGCTAATGTTGGTGTCAGTAAAATAATTCTCGTTCACCAACATTGTTTCCTCAAATGAACCTCACATGACGGCAGGTGGACATTTATTTCTCTTGTAAAGGCCCATTCAGGACAGGAGCGTTCCAGTGGGACCGAATGGACCCTCCACAGTCTTCTGCTGACTTTACAACATGTAACAGCTCTGAGGAGGTCAGAGGAGCTCTGAGGAGCTCTGAGGAGGTCAGAGGAGCTCTGAGGAGGTCAGTGGAGGTTAGAGGAGCTCTGAGGAGGTCAGAGGAGGTCAGTGGAGGTAGGAGGAGGTTCTTCCTTTTCAGTCCATCACAGTGACACCTGGAGACAAGCAAGACAAACAACCATTCACTCTCTGTCTCTGTCTCTCTGTCTCTCTGTCTCTCTGTATCTCTGTCTCTCTGTCTCTTTGTCTGTCTCTGTCTCTCTGTCTCTCAACTATAGGGACAGTTTAGAGTCACCAGTCAGCCTAAGGTGCATGTTGTAGTTCTGTGGGAGTCGTCACAAACATCTCAATCAGCTCCACAGCTACAACTCATCAGAAGATGGTGGTGGTGTCCAACTGTCCTGAAAGGTGGGAAGTGATGTGGATTTGTTTGAGGAACGCTGAGCCTTAATGAAAAGATGATTATCTAAGGAAACACTGTTCTTTGGAGCAGGAACAGCTTTGATGTGGTCCGGAGGGGTTTGAGCGTTGTAGCAACATGTCCTACAGACTGATCAGAGGTTGGATCTTTGTGTTCAAGCTTCTTTTGTCTCAGCTGTGATTGTCCTGTACCAATCCAAGGTGAACTTTTTGGTTTCAGGTTCTATTTGAAGAGGATGGAGAATCTTCATAGTAGTTTCTGCTTCAGGCTGTTCTGTGTTGGAACGTGACGTTGGTTCTCCTCTGATGTTTTCCTCCTGCAGACCATGAACCAGCCTGGACAGCAGCTGCTCCCCACGTAGACCTCTCCTCCCAGACGTCAGCCCAGAGGATGCTGGGAATGTGTCGCGGGCGCAGGAAGTTCCTGGTGGCCTCCCTCGCCTTGCTCTTCATCCCCGCACTCACCTGGCTTTACCTGTCAGTGGGCAGTTTTCAAGGTGAGACACCTGGACAGGTGCCAGCTCTGTGAGGGTGCATGGGCAGGGCGTTGTTAGTGCTTCACATTTGATTTGTTTCGGTCTTTCTCAGATTTCCATGTTTTCATGTTTAACCACATTTTCACCCGTATGGTTTATTTAAATATTACATTTATGAAAATTACAAGTTTCACGGCTTCAGCTGGACATTAAAGCTCTTAACGTCATTAAATACAAATGTTTCTCAAGAAAGAGAAAATAGAGTTGTTGTGATCTATTAGAGGAACATGTGGAACTGTTGCTGTTGTTGTTGTTGTTGTTGTTGTGATTTATTAGAGGAACATGTGGATCTGTTGTTGTTGTCGTGATTTATTAGAGTAACATGTGGAACTGTTGCTGTTGTTGTTGTTATTGTTGTTGTTGTGATTTATTAGAGTAACATGTGGAACTGTTGCTGTTGTTGTTGTTGTTGTTGTGATTTATTAGAGTAACATGTGGAACTGTTGTTGTTGTTGTGATTTATTAGAGTAACATGTGGAACTGTTGCTGTTGTTGTTGTTATTGTTGTTGTTGTGATTTATTAGAGTAACATGTGGAACTGTTGTTGTTGTCGTGATTTATTAGAGGAACATGTGGAACTGTTGCTGTTGTTGTTGTTGTTGTTGTGATTTATTAGAGTAACATGTGGAACTGTTGTTGTTGTCGTGATTTATTAGAGTAACATGTGGAACTGTTGC